ACTGTTTACTAACAAGGTGACAGCGCCAACTACTGGCCTGGCATACGTAATACAGCGTTTTTGGCCGTTTTTGCGGATGTGTAAACGCGAATCGTTTTGAAAACTTTGTTGTGTATACGTGAAACTTTTTAAAAATGCAAGGGAAAAACGTTCCCGTTTTTGACTACATCGTTGTCGTGTAAACGTAGCCTTGGGCTTTTCACCCAAGGCATTCTTGAATCCTACCAGCACATTTTTAAAAATAGTTTGTCTGTCTGTTGCTGCTCCATATAATATGTTTTTTTACATATTTATCTGTTTAACCCTCATGTGGTGTTCGGGTCCTTTTTGCTCTGAAAAAAAAATATTTTTCCCGAATCTGTAACCTCGTAAGTGTGATAGGGTTCTGAACACAACACAAGGGTTAAAGGGATTGTTCACCCAAAAATGAAAATTTTGTCATTAATTACTCACCCTCGTGTTGTTCCAAACCCGCAAGACCTCCATTCATCTTCAGAACACAATTTAAGATATTTTTGATGAAATCTGAGGGCTCTCTGACCACCACGTTCAAGGCACAGAAAAGTACCAAGATGATGGACAAAGTACTCCATGTGACATCGGTGGTTAAACTGTAATGTTACGAAGCTATGAGAATACGTTATTTGTGCAAAGAAAACCAAAATAACAACTTTATTCCACATTTTCGTCTCTACTGCATCACTTGTGGATGTGCCTGATCCAGATCCGGCGTGATGGCATTGAACACAAGGCACACGCTTGCGTCATGGTACTGTCGTGAACGCGCATCCACAAGTGATGCAGTAGAGACGAAAATGTGGAATAAAGTCGTTATTTTTGTATTCTTTGTGCAAAAAACTTATTTTCGTAGCTTCGTAACATTACAGTTGAACCACCGATGTCACATGGAGTACTTTGTCCATCATCTTGGTACTTTTCTGTGCCTTGAACGTGGTAGTCACCTTGCTGTCTACGGGAGGGTCAGAGAGCACTCAGATTTCATAAAAAATATCCTAAATTGTGTTCCGAAGATGAAAGAAGGTCTTACGGGTTTGGAACAACACGAGGGTGAGTAATTAATGACAGAATTTTCATTTTTGGGTGAACTATCCCTTTAAAGATCTAAGGCATGACAACGATGTACTAAAGACTGAAAAGTTTTTCGTTTGCATTTTTGAAAATGTTCGCATACAGACGGCATTGTCAAAATGATCCCTGTTCACATGGATCTACAAAAATGACTAAAAACGCTGTATTATGTATGCCAGGCCAGTAAGTGGCGATGTCACTTTGTAAAGAAACACTACACACCTGCATAACTGAACAGGTAATAAGCGTGAGTATGATGTCACTGTTTTCCCAAATTTGTGTTTCTGTAGTTTACACCGAGACGATAAATGATATTGTTTTCAAAATCTTGCACTTTGAAACTCTTTTTCAAAAACGTGCCTTTTCAGGCCTGTTTCCTGTATCTAGTTTAAAATGGTGTTGTGTAAATCTAGTGCAGCCTGTAGTGGCAGTTGAAGCTGCGCAGACTACAGATTGGCATACAGATGGCACTTCAAGGTGGGTAGGGAGGCTCTTCTCATTCTAGCTTTCTAGCCATTTGGGGATTTTCTGGGGATACATTTGTTATGTGTTAAAAAGATAAAATTCACTAAAATATTAAACTGACAGCCCTAAAAATAACACAAACATAAGTACAGGAATTTACATTAAGCAAAAAAAATATAAATATCCTATAATTTAGCTTCTGCAAGCCACCCATTTTCTAGATTTACTGCCCTGCATACTCATTTTCTCAACTAAATTCATGAAGTGCCACTTTAGTGAAGTACGCTAGGCATTTATTATCTATTTTTTCTTCACAATCGACTTTTATTTAGGATCATGAGAAACATACTTTAATAAATGGTATTTAAACATTAAATCCATGAAGTAGTAGTATTTGACACTAATACCATGGTAAGTGAAATGAACATTTCATTTACCTTTATTCTCTCTATGTTAGCTTCTATCCGTAGCTGTTGAACAGTCCTTCTGGCCTGGGCTATATTAGTAGAGCTTTGCATCTTAGACGACATCTTCGATTATCTTCACAGACCTGAAAACAAACGAAAAGTTGATTTTGACATGCATTATAAGCAGCCTGCAGAACATCAAAGTTACACATCATTCAGGTCCCATGATTCATGAACTACATACAACAGAATTCTCTTACAAAGCATGCAAAACAGGAAATTAGCCTGTATGTACATGTTAACACACGTAGTGAGACAGCAAAAACTCTCTGAGGAGGTACACAGGGCCCCTTTGACTCCTGCAGAGGTTGGGGGTGTTTAGTGTCAGACCCCCAAGTGAGGGGCGTTTCACTAGGTCTGCTTTACGACTGCAGGAGGGAGAACTAAAGCAAGCTGTGTGTGTTTGAACAGATGATCACATGCTGCCAGCGGTTCAGTCTCTGCAGCTACTGTCTGTTCCTGCAGAGCACACCTTCCGTAAACCATCGTCACCGGTTACTCTGCCAACTCATCTTACTTACACAATGAGCACATGTGCACAAATGGAGAGAGACAGAGTCAGCAGTGCAGTCGCTCAAGCAGAAGCAGTTGTGCAATGTAAACGGTATAAAAAAACGGAAATGGTGGAGTCAAACGGGTGGTCTCTCATCAACCAGGAGATAAAAAGAGGACAGTTAGCCTTCTAACTTCCTAAATTTAGTGAGAATGAAATAAAGCAATGTTGATACCTGACAGATTGATACTGAAATACTAATATTTCAGTAGTAGATACCAAAACCAATGAAATAGCACAGCAAAATTAATATGCTAATAAACACACTTCATTAGTTTGAAAAAAGAAAAGAAATACAGATATAATTCAAATAAAATATGTGACCCTGGACCACAAAACCAGTCATAAGGGTCAATTTTTCGAAATTGAGATTTATACATCATCTGAAAGCTGAATAAATATGCGTTCCATTGATGTAGGGTTTGTTAGGATTGGACAATATTTGGCCGAGATACAACTATTTGAAAATCTGGAATCTGAGGGTGCAAAAAAATCTAAATATGGAGAAAATCGCCTTTAAAGTTGTCCAAATAAAGTTCTTAGCTTATGTATATTACTAATCAAAAATTAAGTTTTGATATATTTACAGTAGGAAATTTACAAAATATCTTCATGGAACATAATCTTTACTTAATATCCTAATGATTTTTGGCATAAAAGAAAAATCTATAATTTTGACCCATACAATGTATTTTTGGCTATTGCTACAAATATACCCCAGCGACTTAAGACTGGTTTTGTGGTCCAGGGTCACATATAACATTTAATAATATAAATATAAAATATAAAATTAAACATATATAAAGTAATAAATATAAACAAATATTAATATAAGTAAAAATATGCATACATTAAAACAATGGTATGTAGACTTGATGTATTTCATTTAGGTCACTTTTTTATTGTTAATATTCAAGAAAACGGTCAAGTACACTGTAAAAAATTATTGTGATTTTAACAGTAAAAGACTGTAAAAATGCTACAGTAAAAACCTGTTAATTGGTTATCAGTAAGTTTCCATACTATATACGGTGAATAACTGTAATTACATTTAATGTAATTTTACAGTAAAATACTGTTAAAATTATGGTTTTGGAAGTGAAAAAGAAAGTCACTGTATAATTTACAGTGAAAAAACGTAAATTGACACTCCCAGATCACCGTGGACGAAGCGGAGTCCAGCCCGGGGTCGTCACATGCGGCTGCTGCAACCTCGTTCTCAAGCCCGCCCGCCGCCGCTCACTCAAGCCACCTCCGCTCACTCTAGGCCTCCGGCCCTTTAATGAAATACGTTTTTTATTGTGAATTTAAGTTAAGTCTGTAAAACCTAAAATGTTGCTACCATATTTTTAACGGTGAAGTTCTGGCAACCACAGCTGCCGGTATTTTACCGTAAATGTCACAGATTTTTGTTTACAGTGTAGACTCAAGTCACATTTATTCATATAGCGCTTCATAAAATTCAGATTGTTTCACAGAAAAAAAACAGGAAAATATCAGTGTTGTAAAATGTCAATAAATATAAAGTGACTTCAATTTAAACTAAAACAGCTCTATTGAAGACAATTGTCATTATTGAGGTCATTTCAATGTTGATTCGGTTCAGTTCAATGGCAGTGTCTATGTTACAAAGTTCATACATTCCGAAACTGCTTTATACTTGATCCAGGTATAAAGCAGCTCTAAAGAAGACAATTGTCATTATTCAGATCAAATGAGTTCAACAATGATTCAATTTTGTTGAATAACTGTCAATGTTTCAAAAGTTAAGTCCTTAATGAACAATGAGACATCTCCAAAGACAGCTCTACCAAAAAAGTAATAATGTCATTATCCAAATCAGTAATAAAGAACATAGAAATAAAACAAGTTTCAGTATTTTGTTTTCTCTTTTTATTGTCAATACAATTGTTTCATTGATATTGATTGATAATGAAACAACCCTGCTGAAAAAATAGAAACCATCACAGAAATGCCACTACAAATACCATTACAAACATTACAAACCATCAACTTTCAACATTAAAAATGGGTTCCTGTACTGTAGTGTGTTTTGGGACATATTCCATTAGGATTTAGTGGTTTTAACAAGCCACCAATAGAAGGAAACCAATTACCAATAGAGACCAACAGGCACCATTACAGTTTCCATTAAAACCAGTACAATTACCATTATAGCCAGTAAAACCATTACAAATTCTGTGATGGTTTCTATTGTTTTGTTTAGTTTTTTTCAGCACGGTTTAGAAACACAACAGATTCTTGATTCTTGTTTCGCTGTTCATGTCTGATGTAGACAAGTTGTAAGTGTCGGTTTTAACAACATAGGAAATGTTTAACAGAGTAGCTTCTATATTGCTACATGGTCAGCCGCATAATCTCTAGCACAACAAACCCTGATATCCTACTTCCTGAGAAGCCCAGACATAGCTTTATCAAGAATTGTGAGGAAGAGTGTATGGCTGTCTCCTGTTCCACTGGCACAGGGCTAGCATCTCTACACAGAGGTCCGTGTTGGGGGGTGACCTTATCTGGCCGCACACCAGACATACTTAGAAGGGGTTAAGAGGTTTGGATAACAACTAGTTGTTAATGCAGTGACATAATTAGTGTGAGACAGAGGCCATAGTTGCTCCCACAAGCCCTGAGGTCAAGGGGCCATTCATACATTACGGTCCAGAGAACAAACTGTTTAGCTGCAGCTTAACAAGCATAGACAAAACATGACACCTCTGATGACAGCAGTTTACTAACGATTACATCTTCCGGACAATATAGCATCCCAGGTTGCTAATTTCATTTTAGTCAAGAATTGATCAAATCAACTGTTTGCATCCATGTCTTTTTCTTAAAGGCAGGAAATTGCAAAACTGATTAACAATGCATGCCTTTACTTGCAGTTATAATTGAGCACATATTGTGTGCATCTCTATTGAGGTATACAACACAATATGTTATTGAAGGAATAAAAATTGAAGAATTAAATACTCAATGCTGGTAAGTGTGATTAGCATTGTGATTTTTTTTTTGATTAGTATGTATTTATGTTTAATCATTCTGTATTAATATTTTGTCTGATATTTTCTGTGAGATTTATATAAAAATAACTTTTATATAAATATTACAATTATTTTTATTTTGCTTTATGTTAGTCTGTTTTGAGAAAAAATATATATTTATTCTATATTCTATGTTATTATTTATTCCATATATTTATTCTAAAAACCCAACAAGATGAGCAAACCACATTGTTTTTCTTTGGTTTTGACATCAAAACACAAATATATACAGTATATGTACATGTTGGGGGGAAAATGTAATTTTAATATCATGGATTACTGTTTTAGCTTTTATTAGTTTTATATTTTGAATTAGCTTTAATGATTAGATTTTCCATTTTCATTTTATTTTTAGTTAAAGTTTATAATTTTGTTGTGTTTTTGTGATTTTCATTAGTTTTTAAATTTTTATTAATTTTGAAACATTTTAAATGTAGTTATTTTTTTCAGTTTTAGTTATTTTAGTAAATCAACCCAACTGAAAGAAAATGAAAAATTATGTCTTGGCAACTAGATGAAATAAAATAAGTTTAATTTATATTTTATTTTATTTCAGTATACAGTTATTTTATTTCAAGTAACTAAAATTATTTGTATGATTTTAGTTTTAGTTATTGATAACTTGGTCAGAGATTTAATAATAATAATAATAGTTCATTTTATTTATAGGCGCCTTTCAAAATACTCAAGGACACCTTACAAATAATAAAATACATAATAAATGAAAAGAAAATGCACAATAAAACACACAACTATATCAATCAGAATAAGCTAATGTGTTTAATTTACTTCGATTAAAACAATAATTCTTACTTTTTTAATGTTATAAGAGTCTGATTTAATCTGAAATCGCACCAGTCCGAGTTGAGCAAATGCAAAAGACAATGTAATTTGTCCAAGGACAGATTGTGTTCAGCTGATCTCAGTCAAGGTTGAGTAAGAATGCAGCTCTGTGAAAGGGTACAGTGTTCCTGTGAGGTAATGGTTCATTCGCTCAGAGTGGCTCTGAGGGACAACGAGTCAATTTTCTGCAGACGCAGCACAGAGAGCACAACTGTGACGCAGACAGACACGGCTCAAGAGATGTGCCAATCAAACTCACTCGTGACCTCTCACCCCTCAGGCCGATTGTTGTGCTCATCAACTCACACCAGCCAAGCAGAGGTTCACGTGACAATGTGATTAACCGCTACAAAACCCGCACCCAGCGAGCCTTCCAGGAGCCCACATCCGTTTCATTAACCCACTCCCTCCTCTCCCTGCAGTATAAATGATTAAAGATGTGTATGAATGTATAAATAGCGAAGTAACAGGAAGAGACTCAGAGGAGAAAGGGTTCGTTATAACTGCATATCCGGACCCACGGGATTTCATTCAACCCTCTCACGTTCGTCCTGATAAAACCCTTCATTTGCTCTAGAATTTGTCCTTTCTGTGCTGGGAAGTCAGTGCGTGACGTTTCCGCCACTAA